AGGGAATCATAAAGTGGACTTTCTTTGTTGAAAATTTCTACCAGGCTTGCTGGCTCATTGGGGGAACATAACATTTTGCGAGAGAAATCATCTGTCATGTCACTGGGGTGACTCACTGTATATGAATTCTCATCGTTGAAGTATGAATTAGGGCTAAATTTAGTTCAGTGCAGTTTTGCTGTTTAGAAGGAAAACGATGATGACAAAGTAGATCTTTTTTAGCTTACTGAAAGCCCTGGGTCTGGTAGCATACATTTATATATATCGTGTCCCCAAACTTTCACTTTATATTAAAGAGTTAAAGAACTAAGTCCAAGAAAAAAGAAGAGGAAGGAGGAAATATTTGATTCTGTGGGGTGTGAGGTACACCAGGCGAGGATGATCCAAGCTCAGAGGCGATAGACAGAAAAAAAAATACTGAATGATTCAGCAAAAAGAAACGGATCACTGTGCATTAATAAGAAGCCAAAATTCAAAGGGAATTGGGGAAAATGTTTGCAATAAATATGTCCGACTGATGTGAAGGGTGCATGCAAATCTTTAAGAAAACTCGAGACCCTAATAAATAATAGCAGATGTCCACACATCATTTACAAGAGGAAACATGATGAGACAAACACTGGAAATGTTCATCCTCACTGTCAGAGAAATGCAAGGAAAAGCAAGATCACATTTTTATTCATTAAGTAATTTTTCAAAAAACACCTGATAAACTGACTCTTAAAGAGGATGAAAACAGAAATATCCACATCCATTGACAGAGTGGCTATGAAGTAGTGCTAACTTGTTGGAAATCATTTTGACAGTGGGAATTAAATACCCTTTAAAATGGTTCTCTCAGCATTCAAGAGTCTCTCATGGTTTGCCTCTCTCCCCCTCCCCCACTATTTTGAATGCTGAGAACAAACTGAGGACTGATGGGTGTTGGGGGAGAAGGGGGAGATGGGCATGGAGGAAGGCACTTGTGGGGATGAGCACTGGGTGTTATATGGAAACCAACTTGACAATAAACTACTTGTAAAAAAAAAAAAAAACACAGTTCCAAAAATTATCTTAAATTTCACATTCATATTTTTTTTTATTATTTATTTTTAGGAAAGAGAGAGAGAGACAGCATGAGCAGGGGAGGGTCAGAGAGAGAGGGAGTCACAGACTCTGAAATAGGCTCCAGGCTCTGAGCTGGCAGTCAGCACAGAGCCCGACGCGGGGCTCGAACCCACGAATCGTGAGATCATGACCTAAGCGAAAGTCGGACGCTTAACCGAGTAAGCCACCCAGGCGCCCCTTAAATTTCACATTCAAAGGGGAAACATTTACTAAAAAGCATCAAAGACAGATTTTTAGATACAATTAGTGTAATGTAGATAAATAAATATTAAAACATTAAGAAAATAAAATGTTTCTCCTCTGTGAACAAGTAGTTCCAGCTCTAAGAATCTAACCTAAAACAAAAGTCTAAGAGTAGAAAACCATTATGCAGATATATTTATAACAATATTACGCATGTATCAAGTATTACTTAGATGTCAGGGAAATGGTTGAGTACTGTGGCCTACTTATCTTCTGAATGGAATAGTATCAGGATATAACAATACAGAAAATATAGGTTAGGTAAAAAGAAGGGTGCAAACTTATAAAATAATATTACAGAAAACCGCAATGCATAAAGGCCAAGAAAGAGTTGAAACTTGTGTCCACACAAAAACCTGGACATGGATGTTTATGGGAGCTTTATTCATAATAGCCCAAATTTGGAATCAACCAACATACCCTAAGGTAGGGGAATGGGTAAGTAAGATGTGGTACATCTAGACAATGGAATATCATTCAGGGCTAAAAAGGAATGAGCTATCAAGCCAGGAAAAGACATGGAGGAGACTTAAATGCATATTACTATGTGAAAGAAGCCAATCTGAAAAGCCTGCATAGTATATGATTCCCCTCTATGACATTCTGGAGGAGACAAAACTATGGAGATGGTAAATAGATCAGTGGTTGCCAGGGGTTGGGTGGGGGGCAGGAGGAATGAATAGGTGGAACACAGAGGGTTTTGTGGCAGTACCACTATTTTTTATGATACTACAGTGGTGGATATCTTATTATGTATTTGTCCAAACCCACGGAACTCGCACAGAGTGAGCCCTAATGTAATTTATGGACTTTGGGTGCTAATGATATTTTGACGTAGGTTCATCACTTATAACAAATGTCCCACCACCGTGAGGGGTGTTGATGGGGGAGGGTGCATATGTGTGGGGAGGGAAGGGGGGACATTTGAAAAATCTCTTACCCTTTGCTCCATTTTGCTGTGAACCTAAAAACTCTCTCTAAAAAAAATAAAGCCCATTAAAAAATTAAACAAGAAACAGGAAAAAGACTGGAAGTATTTAAGAAGGTTGTGTTTTGGTTAGGATAGATGTATTTATTTTCTTTTTTTCCCTCCATGCCTGTAATTACCATTTGAAAACATGAACATGCATTAATTTATAATGGAAAGAAAAAAATAAACACTTCAAGAGCTTAAAGCTATGAGATGAAGCTGTACATGTGGTTGTGTATTTAAGCAATTCTGAGAGTTTTTGATGCCTTGTTTCCTCTTAGTGGTCAGCGTTTTGTAAACGCACATTCCTTTGGGATATTTGTGAGTTTACACAGTTGACCCTGTGCTCTAAACCCATGGCCAGTTAGGGGTTCAGTTCCCAGTAAAAATAAGCCATCTTTGGGGAAACTCAGTGTGATCTGTATTCTTGGAATTTTCCCCACAATGTGAGTCAATCTTGGCTCATTTAAATTTTTTTTAATGTTTATTTATTTTTGAGAGAGAGAGAGAGACAGAGCATGAGTGGGGGAAGGGCAGAGAAAGAGAGGGAGATATAGAATCTGAAACAGGCTCCAGGCTCTGAGCTGTCAGCACAGAGCCCGATGCGGGGCTCAAACTCCAGAATGGCGAGATCTTGACCTAGGCCGAAGTCGGATGCTTAACCAACTGAGCCACCCAGATGACCCCAATCTTTGTTCATCTTTAAAACCCTAGGACAATGTTAGAATACCCTACCTTCTTTTATTAAATATATAGAGATATTTGTTTGTGTTTAACTTATTGTTTTGCAGTGATTATGCAGTAACATGGTCTCATAATTAAAGTTGAAAAGTTAAATAATTGACTAAAAATATATATAGCAATAATTCTTCCTGCCCGGACTCCTGTCTACTTATTTCTTCAGCAACCCCATTATAAGTAACCACTATTTTAAAATTCTTGTGAATAGTACCAGAGTTTCTTTATGCACATGTATGCATATGCTAACATATGTTTTTATTTATTTTTATTTTTCCCTACTTTTATACAAAAGGGGCATGTGTTACACATTGTCCAACACCCAGCTTTTCCACTTAATGATGTATCTTTTCTCATCATGCATAAATAGCTTCTTACTCCTCTTTGCGGAAACAGAGACCCCCTCCCCCCGCCCCTGTGTGGACTGGTGGATTCATCGTCATTTCCTTAACCAGTCCCCTGCTGATGGGCACTTGGGTTCTTATTGCTATTAACAACAGCACTGTAAGGATGAATCTTATACATACATTTCTTACACGTGCAAGGATATCCACAGAATAAATTCCCAGAAGTGAAATCGCTGGGTCAGAGTATAAGCCTCTGTAATTCTGATTGCCAAATTATTCTGATTGCCAAGTTATTCTCCTCTGGGAAGGGTTTACACTCATAGCAGCCATACATCTGAGTGTCCGATTGTCTACATTCTTGGCAAGATAGTGCTTTGCCTCCAATGTGATTATTGCCATTCTGATATGTGGAGAAAGGAAGTTCCAGTATGTTTTAATTTGGATTTTTTTTGTGAGGCAGTTTTAGCATGTTTTCATAGGTAAGAGCCTTTCCTCTTGCGTGCTGTTTACTGCCTTCTTCATTTTGATTATTAGGCAGTTGGTCATAGACTTAAGGCTTTCTCGAAAGTCTTTATGTATCAGGGAGATAGTCTGTCTTGGTAACTGCACCTGCCTAGATGGAACATGCGCCTCAGGATAAGAGATTCTAAAAGGGGCCTCCCTATGAGTTGCTGGAGCCAATACGATACACTTGAAATAAGAGTGATATCCATTCAATAAAGTGTGTAGACTCCATCCCACATGTAGGATCAAGATTTCACATCAGGCCAGTCTTTGTATCTTTTGTCACTTAGAGCCTTTGTCTTACCTGTAATAATAAGGCTTATTTATCAGTGCCGTCATTCTGGGTTATCGTGGGTAACACATCCAGGAATCTGATATTATAGTGATTACAACCTATAGCTGATAACTGAAGACACCTGCAGTCCTCCTCAGGGTGAAGCCACTTACCCTCTACTGATGGTAAAGGTACAGCAGAGAAGAATGTGTGACCCATTATGGGGGACCCTGGAGACTTCCAGAAGAAAGCATGAGCCATCATGTGAGTCCTTAGAGACTTCCAGAAGAAAGTGTGAACAATCACGGGGGAACCCTGGAGACTTCCAGGTGCAGCTCCCAATCTCTTTTCTTCGTTGCACAGGAGGGGCTCTGTTTTTGGATTCTGAACCACAAAAATATGTGCAAAGAATCTTGGTTTTACGGAAGCTCCAGCAGAAGTTTCTAATGGTATCTTAATACCCTACTATGGATGTGGCCAAGCCAGACTGTGTAACTCATGAAACCAGTGTAAACTATCAATCTGTACATCCATAAGTGTGTAGACAAGCTGGCCCTGGATCTCTCCAGGGATCTGTGAACTTTAAAAAGCACATTATAAACCACTAACTAGCTCATCTCAACATCCTTATCTTAGCTGCAGGTCAGCCCCAGACCTCCAGACATCCCTGGAGAATAACATAGAGTGATCCCAATCCAGACATAAGATAACCTTACCTTAGATAAGTACTCAGGAAGCACACAGAAACTATTGCTTCCTTTCCCTTTCCCTGGAACAAATCTGATTTTGCCTTCACCAAGACTCTTCTCTTCTATAGCTCAGGGGAGACTGTTACCAGCGTGACCAGCTTGGCCCCATTGCAACCCAAGAAAGGCAAGAGGCGGAAGGAGAAGGCTGACGTGCCTCCTGCAGTCCCTGCCAAAGGTAGGAAGCAAGCACCTGCGTGGGAGCCAGCACGACTGATCCAGGTTGGGTCTGGGGTTAGAAGTGGGATCGGGGCAGGGGGAAGAGACAGATGGAAGACATGACATCCAACGATTACATGGCTTGGAGAACCCCACCTAGATCCTGGTCATAACTGAGCCTCATTACTGAGGTGGGGCTCGGGGTGGTGCACTGGCCCAGCATGCTTTAGTGGGGAGATGGGGGGGGGTCAACATGCACAGACTGATTCCACAGTATATTCCACCCATACTGAAATATATTTCAACTATTAACATGCCCTGCATATAACAAGGTGGGACAAGGGGGTGTCAGCATCTTGGTTCATTCAAGGGAAAGAAGCCTCTGATTTTTCTAAAGGTGTAAACCAAGTAGTTTATTTTGGATTGGCCCTGGGGATAAAACGAGAGTTAGCCTTTGATTCCAATTATAATGTAGAGCAACGTGGGTGAGAAAGATGGGTGTCTCTGGAGGCAAGAACTGCTCATATATTAGGAGAACTAAGACCATGTACAGATAGCTCCTAAAATAACCATGGCCAATTTGGGAGACGTTCATACCTCAAATAATTTGAAATGTAGTTGGAAGTATTAGGACTTTCCAGGTGAACAATTTAAATAACAAGACAAGATACATTTTATCCCTCAGGTGGGGTTTCACAGGCTGTCCCTCAGGGACCTTTGAGGTCATGTGGTGAATGACACTGGTGCTCGGGCTGAACACACGTTGGGTGTACAGAAAGGCTGGAAGGCCTGGGCATTGTGGGAGGCAAGCCAAGTGTAGATCCGGGGGGGAAGGGGGGCAGAGAACCCTGCCGTAACATCTCATTCAATCAGAATAGATAGTACTCTACTTTGCCAAAGATAAAAGCGAGACTCAGAGAGCTAAGTGATGGAGTCTGGCTTGGAGGTGAGGTCTGTCTGACTTTCAAGGTCAAGTTCAAGTTCCGAATCATTGAAATGCTCATTACATGACATTGTGGGGAAGAGCCTTGGTTTTCTCCTCTGTTAAGTGGGGACCATAAGACCCTCCCTGATGATCTCTCAGGGCTGCTGTGAGGGTCAAGGTCACTGCTTTCACTATTAGTGTGTAGTTAGAATGAAGCCCCTGGGAAGTTCCCAGGCTCAGCCTTTACCAAACACACTTGGTTCTCGTCTGCACCCCTTACCTCTTTGTAGCTGGCAGTGTTTTATGCAGAGCTGTTTCGTTGACCTTGATGATGGGAAGGGATGACATGGTTTAAGACTAGGGGAGAATTGCTCTCCATTGAGGGGCACCCAGTGGTACCTAGATCAGAAACTGGAGTTCTTCCATAGGGGCAGGAAGGGGTCCGTGAGTCTCCCCAGAGTATGTCTTTGTGGCTCATGATATGTGGACATTAAGAGTCCAGGGAGAATTACAAGCTAAACTCTTGACATGTTTCCTCAGCCCCCATAGCCGCCACGTTCCATAAACCGAAGCTGCTGAAACCACAAAGGAAAGTCGCCCTGGTGAGTGACCCTATTCTGTTTGTTGCTGTCCCCTCAAGCCTTAAATACACCGCAGAGCCCAAGTTGTAGCTTTACTGACTCCAACCATGCTGATAGCTCTCGGTGCTTTGATCCCCAAGCAAGGACATTCTCTCTGCTTGGGTCAGCTTTTGGGACATCTTCTCCTGACATCTTGTTCCCAGAGTGGCTTTCTAAAAATCAAAACAGAACACATATTTTGTTATAAATGCTACTTTGCAAAAAGAAAGAAAAAAAAGTCACACTCAGGAAGGTATAAAATGGAATATGGGCCTGCTTGCATACATTTCCCTGATAACCACTCTGGAGAGACTGCTGAAGAACCTTCCAGAAAATATGTCATAGCCTTTTATTTTGAAATAAGTTTAGGATCACAGAAGGGTTGGGAAAAAACGGAGAGTGCCCATCTGCCCTTCACCCAGCTTCTCCTAATGTTAGCATCTCACATAGCCATGGTGAATTTTTCAAAAGTAAGATTACCATCAGCACATTGCCATTAGCCACACCCCAGACTTTGAAAGGATTTCAGCAGTTTTTCCACTTATGTTCTTTTTCTGTTCCAGGACCCAGTCCAAGTTATCACATTGCATTTAGTTGTCATGTGTCCTGAGTTTCCTCCAATCTGTGACATTCCCCAGTCATTCTTTTTCTTTCATGGCCTTGATGCTTTTAAAGAGTATTAACCAGTTATTTTTTTTACAATGTCCTTTGATTTGCCTTTCTTTGAGGTTTTCTGGTGAGTAGAGATGACATGAGGTTCTGGATTATGGAGTAGAATGCAGAGGTGATCTTTCCTTCTCAGTGCATCTTTTCAGGGATGCATGATGTCGATCTGTCTTATTAAAGGTGACATTAATTGCGATCACTTGGTTAGGGTGGCCTGTGCCAGGTTTCTCTGTACAAAGTTACAGAGTTATTTTTCACTTTCCATACTTTATTTGTGAGGCTCCAGTCATTAAGTCTGGTTCACATCCAAGGGAAGGAGACGAGCTCCCTGTCCTGAGGAAGGAGTATCAAAGAATTTGTGGATCTGTGTGAACTAACACAGTAATTAATAAATATTTCAGGGGAGATAACGTGAAGTCTAAGTCAACATCATGTTTCTCCTTGAACTTTTACCCACACTTCTAGCATTCATTGATGGATTTTGCTTGTAGCAGTTATTAGTATGGTGTGCTAATAGTGATTTTCTATTTTCCTTAATCCCTCTACATTTACTACTTGAAATTCTTCTGTAAAGAAGAGCTGGACACCTTCTCTTATTTATTTGTTCACTGATTTATATCAGTACGTGTGCATGAACATGAACAATTTTAAGCTTCTAATTATATTGTTTTTACTTTGTTTCCAGTATTGCTTAGCGGTTGTATATTTGTATGAGAGACAGAGAGAAAGACAGAGGGGGAGATAAATTGGCAACCCTATTCTAAAATGTGGCCAAGATAATCTTGAAGGAAAAGAAAACAGTGGAGGATTTATACGTCAATTCCCAAGATTTATCTTAAAGCCACAATAATTAATAAGCTATAGTATTAGCACAAAGATAGATAAATTGATACAAAGGAATAGAATAAAGAGCCCCAAACAGATCTAGTTATGTACTGTCACTTGATTTATGACAAAAGAGGCATTGCGGGGCAGTACAGGGATTACTTTCCAATATAAGGTGATGGGTCTGTTGGATGTCATATGAAAAACAATCCCTAACCCCTACTTTACAAAAATTAGATAAGGATCATACACTTGTCTAATTGCATGTCTAATCTGTCATGCATACATCTAACAAAGGTTCTTTTCTAGAATATCTGAACACCTATAAATCAATAGGATGTAAAAAGACAAGACTACAAAAAAATCAGAAGTCTGAAATATGCATTTCACAACAGGAGATACACAAATAATCAGTAAGCTCATGAAAAATATTTAATCTCAAAGTTCACACCTATGAGGATGGCTAAAATGAAATACTTCTTTCTTTTTTTGCCTGTTTTTCTCTGACCCATTGGGAATTTAGGAATGTATGAAGTTTTATATGTTTGTCAGATCCTTTTTTATTTTACTTTATGTTTCATATTTCAAAAATCATTAATTGCCAGTTTCATTAAATTTCACCACTGCATTCTTTTTTTTAAAATTTATTTATTTAAATTCAAAGTGGGTTGGGGCACCTGGGTGGTTCAGTCCGTTAAATGTCCAACTTCGTCTCAGGTCATGATCTCACAGTTCGTGAGTTTGATCCCCGCATCGGGTTCCGTGCTGACAGCTCAGAGCCTGGAGCCTGCTTCACATTCTATGTCTCCCTCTTTCTCTGCCCCTCCCCCACTTGTAATCTGTCTCTCTTTCTGTCTCAAAAAAAATAAACTTAAAAAAAATTTAAAAATCAAGTTAGTTAGCATACTGTGTAGTATTGGTTTCAGGAATAGAACCCAGGGATTCCTCATTTACATATAACACCCAGTGCTCATCCCAACAAGTGCCCTCTTTAATGCCCATCACCCATTTAGCCCTTCTCCCTACTCCCCTCCCCTCCAGCAACCCTCAGTTTATTCTCTGTATTTAAGAGTCTCTTATGGTTTGCCCCTCTCTCTGCTTCTATCTTATTTTTCTTTCCCTTCCCGTATGTTCATCTGTTTTGTTTCTTAAATTAGACATATGAATGAAGTCATATGATATTTGTCTTTCTCTGACAGACTTACCTCATTTAGCATAATATACTCTAGTTCCATCCACGTTGCTGCAAATGGCAAGATTTCAGTCTTTTTCATTGCCTAGTAATATTCCACTGTGTATCTATCTCTATATCTATCGATATCTATATATCACATCTTCTTTATCCATTCATCACTATACTCTAAACAATTATTTGAACCAAACATTTACTAGTTTTGTTATTATTCTTTCTTGAAGCTAATGTCTTTCCCCCTAATATCTTTATTTGCCTTTACATTTGAGCAGCTTTTCTGTGAATGGAATTCTAGTTTCAGAACAGTTTCCACTCTGTTCTGGGAAATATGCTAAGGGCTTTATGTGCATTTCTATTTACTTCCCATATTGATCAGTATAAATGCCAAATTCCTTACTGTGGTCTCTAATGCCCTATACCGTGCAAGCCATATATGTAGTTTAACTTTTTTAGTAGCCACATTGAAGAAGTAAAAGGAAATAAGTGAAACCAATTTTAATAATATGGTTTATTTAACCCAATATAACAAAAATAGTATCATTTAAGCATATAATATATACAAAAATTATTAATGAAATATTTTACATGCTTTTTATTCTGCAAAGACTTCAAAATCCAGTGTATATTTTATGCCTACTGCACATCTCATTTCAGAACCACATTTTAAGTGCTTGGAAGCCACATTGGACTAGTGGCTACCATATTGGAAAACACCTGAATATGATCTAGCCTACACTACTTCTTTGACAACATTTTGGCCACTGACCCCCTTCCTTGTTCCTTTCTGGCCACACCAGCCTCCTTGCTAGTCCTTAGACATACCAAGAATGCTCTGGAAGGACCTTTGCACCAGTTCTTCACTCTGCCTGGAACATTCTCCCCAGGATATGGTTGTGGCTTATCTACTCACCCCCTCAGGTCTCTCTATTCAGCTGTCACCTTGATGAAGAAACCTTCTTGAAATCCTATATAAAACTCTGCTCACCCTCTGATGGCACTCCCTGATGAGAGGTGCCTTGATGTGCTTTATATTTATCTATTAGTTGCCTCTCTCTTCTACCAGAATGTATGGCCCATGAAGGCAGGGAGCCTGTCTGCTGTGGTCACTGCTGTATCCTCCATACCCAGAGCAGTGTCTAGCATGATAGGGATTTGTTATTGACTCCGCACGCCAGCTCAGTAGAGTTGGTTTTGTCATTCTGCTTTTACAGATGGGTGCCTTGAGATGCAAAGTCAGCAAAGTGCAAGACGGAGCCCAGGGTCATGCAGACCTGAATCTGGTCCTTCTGAATGCAAAACGTAAAGTTTTAACCAGTTCATATGGATTCTTGCCTCAAAGTGGAGCCTGGGTCTGGTTGCTTCTGACATAGTCTTCTGGCCCAGCCTGTCCCTGTGCTTGCTGCTTTGTGCCCAAGTTTCCTGCTATACTACTGGAGAGGCTGGTTCACTGTTTTCCAAAGAAAGACTTCTTTTGCTTGCAGTGCACTGTGGCCTCTGATGGGCTTTTCATTCAGTGTGATTCCATCTGGTTCATATCGTGAAAAATTCCTCACCAGCTCTTCTCTCTTGCCTACTCCTGTCTTGCCCCCAAATGTAGCAGCCAAGTCTTTGCTAATTTTAATAGATCTCTGGTCATTTAGTGGGCTTTTGGAAACTGAGTTGAGCAGAAAAGCTAAACCTATCAACACCCCCTCACTCTTCAAGTGTGCATATTGCTGCACATGTGTGTACCTGTGTATCCTTTTCAGATTTTCTCTACATTCAGATATTTATCAACAACCTCAAGAAAGGATGTGCATTGTACATGTTCCCGCCTTACGTTCTCTCTGAGATGTTCAGGAGCTATTGGTTCTAATCCAGAATCTTACCCCTGGTAATAACAGAAACAGCTATTTACTGATGCTCTGTGGATATATCCTAGAGAGACAGCCAAAATAGTACCTTTTCTTTCTCTTTCTTTCTTTCTTTCTTTCTTTCTTTCTTTCTTTCTTTCTTTCTTTCTTCTTTCTTTCGAAAGAGAGAGAGAGAGAGAGTAAGCAGGGGAGAGGCAGAAAGAGTGGGGGACAGTAGGCTCCAGGCTCTGAGCTGTCAGCACAGAGCCCAATGCAGGGCTCGAACTCATGAACCATGTGATCATGACCTGAGCCAAAGTCGGACACTCAGCTGACTGAGCCACCCAGGTGCCCCCCAAAAAGTGCTTTTTGCATGTTGCCATAGTTAACTTTCCTAATAAGTTCTTCACTCCCGATCCCCAGTTTTGCATGTTAGGGCACACACTCCGTTTAAGAAAAGTGAGTTC